CATAAAAGAAAACGGATGTTAGAATCAACTAATCCCTTTGATTTAGAAACTAATCGACTCTAAACCTACGAAGAAACCGATTCCCTCTTCAAAAGCACATTACGCGATTGAAAAAGATTTAGTTGATGCACTCAAAAATGAAGGAAATATAATAATCGATACATCGGTAATGAGAATGAATGGTGGGGTTTAATCCCTTTTTTAATAATTACATTATTAGCTTCTGATACCTGATACCCTGTTATGCGATAAAACACAGACAAAAAGTTAAGGCCATCCAACGACACTCCTGAGGTGGTGAAACACAAACTGCTCCTGTACTATCAGCTCTTACAAGGGAGGTCGTTCAGGGTGTGCCAAGCTTTTTCAAAATGGTTTCTTGCATGACATTGGGGCACATGCGGGAACCACAGAACCATGGTTCATTTTTCCTGAACGGCCCTCTGAATACCAGAAAAGGGGTCCCTAGTTCGATTCCTCGTGGTGACAAATTTTTGCATTTCGAGTTGACGTTTCAAAATTCGCGCAAAATGGAGTTAGCATGAATAATTAGTACCATATTCATGATTAGGACCGTCAGTAACCCTTACAAAGACTTTGATTAAAAAACTGGTGAAAAAGGTGTGACACCACAGTGGGGCTGCTTTGGTGTCACACCTTTTTCACCAGTTTTTTAATCAAAGTCTTTTTGTAAGGGTTACTGACGGTCCTAATCATGAATATGGTACTAATTATTCATGCTAACTCCATTTTGCGCGAATTTTGAAACGTCAACTCGAAATGCAAAAATTTGTCACCACGAGGAATCGAACTAGGGACCCCCTTTTCTGGTATTCAGAGGGCCGTTCAGGAAAAATAACCATGGTTCTGTGGTTCCCGCATGTGCCCCTATATCATGCAAAAGACCGTTTTGAAAGCTTGGCACGCCCTGAAAGACCTTCCTTGTAGGGAATTTTAAGGCTTCCTAGCATTTTTTCTGCTCCTTTTATTACTGTTTCACCAATCACCACAGCTGCTTTCACACTAAATTACGTGTGGCCACTGTAATTATTAGATCCACGTGCAAGCAGTACCGGCCCGCCGTACTGGACCAGACAAGATTACCCAAAACATTTCGTTTTGAATGGGGGGACGAACTGAGCTCGTCAACAAATAACTTCGGAAAGTGTATGGGTGACTAAGTCCCTTAATTATCTTCTTACCAGGAAGGTCTTTCAGGGCGTGACAAGCTTTTTGAAAACGGTCTTTTGCATGATATAGGGGCAGATGCGGGAACCACAGAACCATGTTCAATTTTTCCTGAACGGCCCTCTGAATACAGAAAAGGAGGTCCCTAGTTCGATTCCTCGTGGTAACAAATTTTTGCATTTCGAGTTGACGTGCCAAAATTCGCGCAAAATGGAGTTAGAACCAACCAGAACAATCAGAACTCCATTTTGCGCGAATTTTGGAACGTCAACTCGAAATGCAAAAATTTGTCACCAAGAGGAATCGAACTAGGGACCCCCTTTTCTGGTATTCAGAGGGCCGTTCAGGAAAAATTAAACATGGTTCTGTGGTCCCCGCATCTGCCCCTATATCATGCAAAAGACCGTTTTCAAAAAGCTCGTCACGCCCTGAAAGACCTTCCTGGTTAGTTCGTATAATGTGTAGTAAGCGAAGTTATGCAAACTGCAGAGGCTAAATCATGGAGTCTGCTGAACCAACCTTTCAACGGTCGAAGCTTGGGGACGCTCTCGTTTTCTGCCAGGGAACGAAACCAGATGGCCGCGACAGGTAATGCGAGTTTGGTGGGTGGACCGTGGACCAGCGTAGGTCTTGGTTAAACGACCTGGATACCCCAGAACGTCAAGCGACACCGTGGACCGACCATCGGCCTTATGGTTTAAAACTTCACGAAAAAAGTATGAAAGAACCGGTCCCTCGGGCGAGGAGGGTCACATGGACGCCACTGTGACAGGGATTGAATAGCTGCACGTGCTGGCACGCCGCTCGAGCAATTTCGATGGACGACAGTGTGATACAGTGAACTCTAATTTACATCACAGACGCTACATCGAATTTATTTTTGCGAGGAAAATCTTAAATATGGCACCCTGCCAAATTCCTGAGCAAAAGCATCAAAACTTACATTATTTTGTCCTAATTATGAAGGATACCAGGAAGAACAAAAATACTGTGAGCTGAAAGGAGCTCGAAGATATGAAAACTATGACACTGACTCAATACACTGACAACGGTAAACAAAACTGTATGTACATTTCTAACTAAAATAAACGCATTTTCGTTATGTACACTATTAGGTCGAAATAGCGCAGAAATTCCTATCGTCCAATTCCCAGACCACTTGAAACGCCAATTGGTCCAACGCCTGGAACTCCGACACCTATACCAGAAGAGATACCGAAGATTCCACCACCGTTACCTGAAAAGTATCACGATTAGCAGAGAGTTTTTTTTCTTTTCGAAGCTCAAAGCAAAAAATAATGGCAGTGAAAGAATCACCGCCGAGACCACCGATTCCTGGAGCACCTATGCCCAGACCAGAGTTAACTCCGATACCTCCAACTCCAACACCACTGCCAATGCCGACTCCTCCACCTCCATTTCCACCTCGACTTCTTCCATTTTCAATTGGAACTGAAATTTCAACATTCGTTCTCACTCTAGAAAAACAGTATCGTTTTCAAGAAAACTTGTACTTGCATAAAAATCTTATGTGAACAACAAACGTCATAAATAAAGATAGTGGTTTCTATAATAATATTCGGAGGAGAAGCTAAATACTCACATGATTCTCTGCCGTTGTTGTTGTTGTTGTTGTGGTTGTGGTTGTGGTTATGGTTGTGATGGTTGATGGTTGTGGTTGTTGTGGTTGTGGTTGTTGTTGTTGTGGTTGTGGTTTGATGACACCAGTTCAGATTCCTCTTGTTTCGATTTGATTCGCGCTCTCGCTTCTGCTATCTGAAAATGATTTCCAGCTTTTTCGGTGGTGAACGGTCGGATTGCTTGCTCCTTCATACGTTCAAGCCAGATTATTTAGTGAATATGTAACCCTTAGGTATCTTTCTGTAACCCAAAAAAGAGCATAAAGCATTTGCCGTTGATCAATCCCTTTTTGGGATGCGGCACGCATTCTACTTCCATTTGTACATTCGTAGTGGCGTTTGAATGCGATGCCTATACAATGACTTGCGGGGGCCAGCCGATGTACAAGTCAGTGTTTTTATCCTCCCAGACAAGTCTGGTACCAATTAACCGACCCCGGAGGGATGGAAGGCTTGGTTGGCCCGGGCGACTCACGACCCAGGATTTGATCCCCGGACCGCTCGCGTGGTAAGCGTGCCACTTGCCACTACACCCACTTCCGCCCATGCCAATTA